CCAAAATGCCCCACCGTAGCCCCACTCCCAGTGCTGCCGCCTTCTGCCCAGAGTTTATTCAGTCACACTAATAGCACCTGTAGATACACCCACCACTTCCCAAACAGTCCCATCTACCCTTGAACTAAGTAGGCCTGAGCCTTGAATGAAAAAGCTTGAACTTTCAAAATCTAAACTTTCTAACTCAAAAACCTAAAAACACTTTTCAAAAAATCAACTCTGTTTTGCTTTTTAAACTCTCAGTTACCTACCTTACCAACCAGCTTTGAAGAGAACTGGCTCAATGGTGATAAAGTTATTAATGTGTTAAGATGACAATATGTTCATAGGTAAAGTACTTTTTAACAAATATGTGCTGCTTTTAACAAATATGCATTTCCAGCAATAGATAACTAATGTGCACAAACAACATTAATTATCTATAACTTGCTAATAATGTCAATTTTCTCTAAAATTGGCTTGATTATTAAATGTCAATGAAATCTATAAAATACACCAAGCTTGAGCTATCCAGTTTTGGCCTTTTGCATTATCCAAGTGCAAAATATTTCATTTGAGGCACATATTCTAACCGAAAACTAATGGAACCACTCTTCTCAAACTTTGTCACCCTTCAAAAAATTCTTTTGAACTGAAAAAAAGCCTGGACATTTCCAGCCCAAGAAGATTTTTTTGTTTTTAATGGAAAACCTAAAAATGATATATAGACTAGAAGATAGGACTATATTAGGCATGTCAGAATCTCTAAAATTAGGAGTGAAGAGACTTTGTATAGGTAGAGTGAGTGATCATGGAAAGTAGAAATTATTAAAATTCACCCCGACTGGATCCTGGTGCTACAGGTGGCCAATTTCATATGAATAGGAACAGAAGCAGTAACTCAGGGAATAATGTTGGAAAGTTCCACTTTCTCAGAGAGGTAAGGATTTCTTAGGCTAGGGACAGACATTGAAAAAGCCAGAGCCTGAATTGATTCAATCTTTGCAGGTTAGTTGAACCTGGCTAGGCTAAATCAGTTTTGTAACCAGACAGACACCCCAGAAATGCAGGCACATGCCTGCAGTGGCTCAGGCTAGAAGCTGTGGGGAGCTAAAGCAGCCCTCAAGTCCTTCCACAGCATGGAGCTGAGTGGGGCGAGGCCAGGCTCTGGCAGGAACTCTGCTTAGCCCAGCAGGAAATTGTTAACAGTGTTTATCACCCAAGTAAGAAAACAACATAGGGACATTACCAGCTACCTGTTGATTCTACCTGTTGATTCAGCAGGGACCATAGCCAGCATGTGGTCTGTTAGGTAATGTACAGACGCCTCCTCAGCAAGGCAGAGGGGAGGGGAAAATTCCTGCTTAGTAGGGAGTGGTGAGGGGAGTGGGGAAGCAGCCCGCAGTCTTTGAAGCTCTAGCCAGGGAGCAGAGGGGAGGGGCCAGGCCTGCTGTGGAGCAGAGAGCCCTGCCTAGCCCAGAGAGCATGTCGGGATATTAAACCAGCAAGGGGTCTGAGACAGACATTACGTAAACTGGTTTGAGCCAAATTAGTTATGTACTTGAGAAAGCAACAGGCTACTAAAGTCTTCAGGCATTCTGCTTTGAAAGTATATTTATATTTAAAATGTAGGATAACCAGTATTATGATTGAAGGCTAAACCTACCATATCCTAAGCTATATTGTTATACAGCATACTTTCACATCTGAAAATATTACTAAACAGTCAGAGGTCTCCTTTCATAACAACCATTCTTTTTTTTCTTAAGAGAATTGTGCTTTATGTGTAACCTCAAACAAGAAGAAATCATCAGGCACTTTCAAACACACAGCATTACAGAGAGCTCCTACCTGAGGAAATGTCTATTTTTTCTTCATTCCACTCCTGACCCATTAAAGGGTGGAAAGGCTTGGGCTTCAGTCTCATTCAGCATATATACAAATAATTTAAGTAAATATTTTGCTACTTAATGACCAATGTGCTCATTAAAAATATTGTTTATTTCAACATTCAGTTTATGAGAAAAATGTGACCTGTTGACAAATGGAAAATTGTCTCAAATGCAGCAAATACCAAACAAAAAACAAGTAAGCCATGTAGGGTTGAGTTCTATCAGAAACATAATGGTGTGGCCAGGTGCCTGGGGCAGCTGCCCCACACAGGGGCAGTGGCAACTTCCAGTTCCTGCTGCACCACTGGTGTGGTTGTGCGACTGCAAAAGCAGCTGCTTTTTTCTGACCTCCCCCATGTGCAGCCTCAAGTCAGTGCCTGGGCAACTGCCCTGCTTTAGTTATGACACTGAGTTCCATTCACATACCAGAACAAAATCAAAAGACACAATAAAAAATAATACAGTTGTCAGGAAAATATCTCGTAATGATTACATTATTTCGGCTGTTTAGATATCTCTGCACAAATGTAGCTTAGTACATATCTTTTCTTCTGCTATGGCAGGACGCCTGGGGCTCAGACACAGCTCTTCTGGATGAAGGCCTATGCTGCAGGTGAACCACATGAATCAGGGGAACCAATAGAAGTCACGAGCCCTTGATGGACAGTTTATAAGAACCCTGACACTTGTCTTGGCAACAGCGTTTATAGCCTTGTATTTGGGACTCTTCTGCAGTACTTCTGTCACTGTCTCTGCCCTAGACCATCCTGCCTTGCCTCTTGCCCTGCTCCAGCCGTTGACCCTTGACCACGGGTGACTGGTGCCTCCCGAGTCTGGGGGGCCACCAAATCAGGGATGAGGGGGAGATCCCCCAGTGGCCGATTGCTGAGTCAGCAGTGAAACCAGAAGTGTACTTCCCTTCCAATGGCACTTCCAGTTTTGCAGCTGGCGCTTCCAGCGGGTGCACAGCCAATCTCAGGGGGTGCACATGCATTCACGTACACCACCTGCACATCACCAATGCCCTCGACCCTTGTTCCTGCCTCACCCCCTGCCTTAGACTTCAGTACCTTCTTCCTGCTTGCTCTAAAGAGTTTTGAGTTCTCCAGCTCCTGACTTCTGGCTTGGCCTCAAACATGGATCCATCTCAACCCAAGGCAGCATGACACCTTGGACTTAAACTGACACCTAGTGTTGTAACCCTCAGCTTCTGAACCCTGACCCCTCCCCCCATGGCAGGGCATACCTGTGACACACTGTGACATTCTTCACCAGAAATAAATGGGTTGGCTGCTATCTCACATTGTTACTTGCTGTTTAACTATGTACAAACGACAAACACTATCCGTTGATGCTCCAAACCTTAAGTATACAATATCATGGTCCGCTACATATTCTGATAAGGAGGTGCACTTAGAACTAAGGGCCCAGTTTTCCTCATGCTAGTTCTCAAAGTGCTCTATGAAATAAAACAATAAAGGGTAGGCATAGAGTAAAGCCATATGTCAACTCCATTAAAGGCAGTGAATTAGTGCAGAAGTCCTAGATTTGCAGACCAACAAGGGTAGAGTGCATAGCATTGCAAACACTGAGGAACCAAAGGGCATGTTCATGTTCAGTGTCACACATCAATAACTACGTCAAATACCCTGTGGCTCATATGTAGAAACTAGGATATTAAAATATATTATTTTAAAACCAGCTGTCAGTTTCTCTATTTCATTACATAGTGTTTCATTTATTGTTTTTCTGACTGCTATAGCAAGCCTGGGATATGTATTTTTAAAGAATAGTTAGAAACATAGAAAACAGACCGTTGATTAAATATATATGTAACCAGTCATTTATATCAGTGCCTGTAAAGTCATTGCAGTTTATTAGCCACATATAATATGCTTTTAGAAGTAAATTTAAATATGCATTTATGTGAACTTAATATGTTCACACCAATGGCAGATCTTGGTTATACTGAGAAAGACCAAGAGTGGAAGAAAAGGGGTAGCAGGTGACTGGAATTGTTCCAAGATGAGCTTTGTTTTCTTGATTTTCCTGCTTTTGTATCAGGCGTTAATATTGACAATATGTGGCAGTTGTTTTCTGAAATATGTTAATGTGCTAACTGATTGAAATATTGCCATACAGTTGTCTTGGTAGAAAGATAAGTTTTATTCCTCACAAAATATTTATCTTTCTAAATTGGCAAAAAATCACTTTGGGGAGTGTCAGGATGGAGAGGATAAAATATTTTTAATGAAATATCTCAGTGACAAGGGATTTTTTGGTTAAGTGTTGCATCTTGGATGATTCATTAAATCACTACAGTTATTTTTTTTAAATAGCATTCATTAATTTTTTAATTGTTTGATGTTTTAGGTTTTGTAAGCCAAGCTGAGCCAGCTGGGGTCAAATTTTCAGTGGTGTCAAATGTTCTTATCTCCACCAGGTGGAGTTGCTGGTTTTTGCTATCTCTGAATATCAAGCATGAACTGTATCAGGATGAGTCTGCACTCAAAAGCTGGATCCAGACCATGCCAGGACAAAAAATGTAAAACATGCCAACACATCTCCACCATTCTCACAATAACTACACCTCACAACAGAACCATCACCATTCCTGGATCTTAAATCTGCACCTCCAGAAATGTCATATATCTTATCCAGTGCACTAAATGCCCTGATGAAAAATATGTAGGAGAAACCAAACAACAACTGTGTACCAGAATGAACGCACACTGAAAATCTATCAAAGACAAGAATACCCAGTTACCTGTGGGTGCACACTTCTCACAAGACAACCACTCTTTCTCCAATCTCTCACTTCTAAACCTCACAGGGAATTTACAAAAGACCTTTTGTAGACAAGCCTACAAACTTCACTTCATAAATCTACTGCAAAGAAAAAATCATGGACTAAATATAGACATTGGATTTATGGCACGTTATAACTTGTCTGCCATCTGATAACCCTAGGTAACCTCTCTACATTTTACCAGCTATGTACTATAAACAGATCAGCATTCTCTCCTTTCCCTTGCCCCCCAACTACCTGTCTCATACCTATTACTCAGCCCCTCTGATCTTCTCTGCCACACATTTGCATTTTGGCTTAAGTTTCTATTCCACTCAAGACAGCACACAAACACCAGCAGATTCTCCCTATAACTAAAGAAGGGCATTTGTGCCTGAAAGCTTGTAAAAAAAACAATTTTCCAACTATTTAGTTGGTCTAATAAAAGATATCAAATTTACCCCAAGAACCTTGTCTTCAAAAACTGAGGCACTTCAAATCAGTGCCTGGTTCTGAAAATGTTCACCTGGGCCTAGTCAGTGAGCCAAGACCTGCACTATCAGTTGCTCAAATACAGCCTCACTTCAGGCAAAATTTCCTTTGACAACAGTGTGGACCCTAGTAACAATAAACTGAGTACTACAGTACATTCCTCTGAAGCACAGGAGAATGCTTAAATCCAGCTTAAGCACCTGAGTATAAGGGCAAATTTAAAGGCTAGGGACAGACATTCAAAAAGCCTGAGCCTGAATTGATTTGATCTTTGCAGTTTAGTCTAATCTGGCTAGGCTAAAATCAGTGTGTAAATGTACAGACATCCCAGACATGCAGCCACATGCCTGCAGTGGCTCAGGCTAGAAGTCGGGGGAGGTGGGAGCGCTAAAACAGCCTTCCCTTCCATTCCACAGGGCTGAGCTGAGGGGCATGTGGCCAGGTCCCAGCAGGATTAGGGAGGAGTTACCCCACCTCCTTGATAACAGAGCATTTATCAGCTCTGTTATCAGCATTTATCATCCCATCAGAAAACAAACTGTCTTTCATCAATTTGAGCTCTCTTAAACAAAAAAGGACCAGAGGGACATTATGAGCTGAGCTGTTGATTAGCTCCAAAAAGCCCTAAGCTGACGCTGCTGTCTGGCACAGCACAGATGGTAGCCAGTATGTGGTCTGCTAGGTAATGCTGTGCGTCTGTGTAAGGCAGAGGGGAACGAGAGATACCTACTTAGCAAGGAGTGGTGAAGTGAGGGGAGGAGCAGGAGGAAGCCAGGCTGATGGTGTTGTGCCTGCAAGTCTCTGCCAGAGCTGAAGCCAGGGAGCAGAGGGGAGGGGCCAGCCCTGCTGTGGAGCAGAGAGTCCTGCCCAGGCCAGAGAGCATGCCGGGATGCTGGGGGAGTCTGATTTAACTTAAACCAGCAAGGAGACTAGGACAGACATTGCATAAACTATTTTGACCCAAATCAGTTAAGTGTGATATTACATTCAACCACGTTTATCTCAAACCAGTTTTAGCCATTTTCAAACTGGTTTATGTGCACTGAACATCTGTTCTGTTGCAGGTCTAAGCCAGTTTCTGATTACTTAAACTGGTTTATATGTAATGTCTGTCCCTAGCCAAATTGTTTACTGAATAGGAAAGGACCTTGCTAAAGAGCGTTTATATATTAAATAAGGGGTACATGATTTAAAAGCTCTTCCTAGTTATTTTGAGGGTGGGTCTATCCCACCTCTGTAATTAGCCTTGGAGCCTCTACTCTCACTTCACATGCATCAAATCCTGGAAATGTGGCAGTGTAGGCAGCATAGAACAACTTTGAACATGCACTCAAAGCTCCTCCCTGACCCTTGTCTTGGCGAACTTCTTGGCACATATTCAGGGCTGCCTTAAACTAGCTATGCTGCCTCATTTCCAAGATTTGGTACACAAGGAAAATGGGAGGAAAATGCTTCTAAGTAGTACTCATTGGGCTCAACACAGGAGTGCTGGAGACATGTGGTGATATGTCCCATTTGCCTCTCTACAATTCTGTATCCAATATCATGAATCGTGCTTAGGTTTCATCCTGTGAGCAACTGCCCCTCATGAGATGCTTTCTTTCCACTGTACTGGAGTTCAACATATTTTCTTCATGTAATCACATGCTATGCAGTGCTTTAAAAATACATAGTGACAAAAGAGTGACTGAAAGAACATACAACCATGGGGACAAATTTTGCACTGCCCTGATGTCAGTTCTGAGTGAGTTCACTGTCTTTAAAGGACTTCTGGGAAACAGTGTACTTGGCTCTAAGATAGGTATGAGTCACAGCAGGGATCATCATAGTGTAGGAGGAGAAGAGATCATGGAGACAGGAAATCATAGAGTTGAGACACTGTTTTCTACGTTATTCTCTCTTTGATAAGTGAAACAACTTGCTGTTGAAACTGTCCTACTTTTGATCTTTCCTTATATTCTCAAGGAGATTCAGGATGGTAGTATCATAAAGACCTTTTGTTAGCTCATACTGATGAATCACGTGTCCTTTATTTTTTTTTTTAAATTATATATTTACTTGCTTCTAGCTGCCTCCTGATCATGAGACTGTCCTTTATCCTGAACCCACAAAGTCAAAGGCCAATATTTTCAAATATCTAAGGTCAGGCATCTTAGGTCAGCTCTTCAGGTGCTGTTAATCAACAGAGTTCCTTTTGACTTCTATGGGGTGATATCAGTTTACTCCAACTGAGGATATGGTTATTAGGGCTGTGCAAATCTTTAGTCCCTGATTCAATTTGGCAGAGATTCCACCCAATTCGGTGGCTGAATCTTTGAATCCAGATCAAATCAGGAGACCCTTTAATCTTTCCAAATCGAATCAGAACCTTCCAAATTGATTCAGAAAGATTCGGTGATTGTGAGGAAAGAGAAGAGCCCCAGAGAAGTAAAATGGCCCCACCTGTATTGCAAAGAACTCTGCGGGGCTCCTTCTTCACTCGGTGTTTCAGGAGGGGAGGGGGAGTCAGCCAGAATTCCAGGATAAAAGGAGACACAGGGCAGGCAAAAGAGGGACACAGGAAACTGGAAGTGACTGACTGAGGCAGCGAGATGGCAGGGAGAACCAGAGGCACTGAGGAAACAAGGGAGACGGGGCTTAAGGGAAGCAACTCTGTGGAGGGAGTTGCTGGGGGAGAGAACCCTGAAGGAAACACCCAGAGAGAAACAGAAACTGGGGCAAGGCAGTTAGAAGGTACTGTAAAGACCCTAATAGCAGTGATGAAGAAAAAGGGTATCGCAAAGTTGGGACTATAAGGGCTGAAGAAGTGCCAGTTTGTTTTTTTGTTCTCCTTTTCATTAGGGTGAGAGGAAAGTCACCCCAGATAGTGCGTTTACAACTATCAGGACAATAAGCCAGGAAAAAGAATGGCTAGGATTACTGGCAGGTCTGTGCCAGGTTCCAGCTGGGGGAGGTACAGCCAGGCCCACTGAGGATACTGATTGGCCAGACCTAGAGACCAAAGGAGCATTTTTTTTGTATTGCTGAAAAGGAGATTGTGGAGACAACTGAATTACCACCCTGTGGAACGGGCAAGGGTGTAGGGGTTGGTGGAGCTCTCACTACACTAAGACAAATTGCAAGAGCCAAAGCATCGAGACCCACAAGCCCCAGCATTCTATTTTCTCCTGTAATGACAAGTTGTGGCAGGCAAGATTGCGGATGTGTGGGAGGGGCCAGCAAGACGTTGCGGTGGACTTCAGCTTGTAAGCTGAGGTGCTAAAGCTGTCTTAGTGTAGAAGATAGAGTAAGAAAGGAAGAAAAAGAAAAAAAAGCCACTCAGACAGGTGATGAGCTCCAAAGATTGATGACACCTAGATCGATAGAGACAAGCCTCTACCACAGATAGGGGCGGGACTTTTGGGGTGAAAGCCCACCATTGGACAGAGATTTGGACATAGACACAGCTTTCAATGTTTTTTCTACATACCTCAAGGCACCAGGTGCCTCATGAATGCTGCAATGCTAGGGCAGATGGAGCATCCCACGGGAATGCGGGGGAGGGTGTCCCCAACACGCTTGGCAGCAGACCCAGAAGTGCTTCTAGTCCAATTCTGGGTCCTCTAGGGAGCACACTGGGCCCCCCCATGCCCTTCTGGCTCAGCGACTGGTGTCTCCTGGGTCTGGGGAGACACCCGGGGGCTGATTGCCAAGCTGGGGAGACATGGGGGGCCCCCCCCCACTCCCCAGCAGAACTGAAAGTGGACCAGAAGCACTTCTGGTCTACTTCCAGGTTCACCATTGAGCACACAGCGGGCACCCCCCGCCACGCTCCTGAGACCTTCTGTCTCAGCATTGCAGCATTCATGAACTGCGCCTGGTACCTTGAGGTATGTAGAAAAAAAAATTTAAAGCTGTGTATATGGCTGACTCACTGATTCTCAGCATCAGCATTGAATCTTCAGATTCAGATTTGGCAGAGTCAAATCAGGGACAGTGATCCAAATCAATGAATTGAATCACTGTCCCCAATTCGGGCTGAATCTGAACTGAATATGGACCGTTTCACATACCCCTAATGGTTATATAGTCTATATTGAGATGTATGATTGAAAAGACCTGATTTGCTTTGAAGCTGTGCTCCCAATTTCTAGGGGAGCCAGTGCAGTCATGTCAGCTCAGTGACATGCAAGAGTGGAACATTAGACATGGTGCATGTATTAGCTCTGAAATATAGCAACAAAGCAGTTTTCTTGCAGAGTTTGTATGACCAACAAAGTATTTTATAGATGAGATGTTCAAAGGAACCTAAAAGAGTAAGATCCTTTGAATTTTAGTGGTACTTTGATATGTCGCTTCTTTAGACTTCTTGCCTTTACTGCAAAGGTTTGTGACAAAATGTAAAGCTAGTAGATTACTATATGTGAGTGGCGATTCTTTGCTTTTTTTTCTTTGCCTATCAAGATAAGTACAATTTTTTTTTCTGTTTAAACAGATTAAACTCCGAATGCAAACATTTCCCATTGCCCTGCAGTAAGTGAAGTCACACAATCAGTTCCTCTGTGTGGGTGGGAGCAATGGTTGCACAGGAAGACATTTTATTTACTATGTTGCACCTAGAATGAGTAGATATTGCCTCCATCTAGTGCATGACCAGTCTACTCTTTTCTAGGTTACAAATGTGGTTGATCTTCCAGCAAAATTAGTGTTAATATAGCATCATTATTGTTATTCAACCCCTTCAGAAGAGCTGAATATTATTATTATTATTAATAAGAGCTAACAGCGTATTTAGCTTCCTACATTTTAAATATCTTTGCATCTGGGGGAAAGTTTCTCACTTTGGACCTTCAAAGAATGATAGAAGGTAAGTTGAAGAAGTATTCTTCTTTCTAGAAGCTATCATGTAGAAGAACAAAGCAACAGGTTTGCTTTCAAAGCTTCAGTCATTCTAATTGTGTAGATAAAATAAAATTGGAGTTTAACTCTGTTCACAAACTAAGCTACTTGCCAGCCTGAGCACTATCCCAGCTCAACTTTCTATCCCTAGGAACTTGCCAACATTAGCAATTAAGAAGACATTTGCTGTGAGTTAAGCCCCATGCTACCCACTAAAAACAAACCAGACTAGATATTGGCTACAAAAGTGATTCTCAAACAGGGTTTTACGGCACTCTGAGATGCCTTGTGATCCTTTTAAGAGTGCCAAAGTGTGACACACAATATTAACACGCGGAGGTATGCAAACACCTACACATGATTCACAAGATAAACCCGTTCCCCCAGCCCCCCAACCTCCCCCGCCAGCCCAGCTCCTGGC